AAGATTAAGAGGGTGTTTGAAACTCATTTTTTGGAGAATGAAATTTTTGGAATAGTGATTGATGGGAGATTATGTGGTGGAAAAGTTATGAAAAGTTTTAGATTTGTGTGTAATATTATTTTATTGAAAGAATATGTGGTTGAAAATAATGTTTTAGATAATGAGGCTCAAATAATAACTAAATTTCATGCACTTAAGCACCTGGAAGTTCTCAAAACCACAATCAAACTTGCAAAGCTACTATAACCACCTTCGTTACCCGTAGCCAAGTTTTCAAAGAAATAAAAGAATTTTGGGTAAAAAAAAAAAAGAGTGAAAATTCACACAAGAGCAAGGAATCGAGTACTATAAGTAATTGATGTGATAACCAACCAGACGAGGATGATCGACCAACTACGACCGGACGAGGATGATCGACTAACTATCAAAGTGGTCGACCAACTACGGTGGTTGATCGACCAAGGTGGAAACGATTGCCAACCAATTGAAGACAATTTATCGACTACTACTGTCTCTCAATCGTCCCGATATTCTTTTCATTGATTGGTAACCGTTGATGGTTACCTTTGGTCCTCTTAACTACCTGGTAAGTGAGAATTAATCACTAGAAAAGTGGATAAAAATCGATGATGGTTACATGGTAGTAAACATATATAAACACCCCCAAAAGTATACTAGGTATCAAGGACAATATTTTGGACCATATCTTCGAGTTCTCTTCCTTTTTTCATCTAAAAGTTATAATTATCTACATAAATCCGATCACTATTGTCACATCTGATAGTCCCAGTGTCTTTTTATAGGTATTTCGTTGGTTATCAGTGCAGCAGAAGCCACCTTGTCAGTCAAGGAAGTCTGAAGGTTGAGTAGTTGTTACTTCAGTTATCGCATATCCATGGCCACAAACTAAGCTTCAGAGTTCATGCCATAAAATCAAATTTTTTGCCTAAACATTGAGTGAAAATTCAAAATTGATAAAAGAAAGAGGAAATTCAAATTTCAATCATGATATTTTGGGATCTAATTTAGAAAAATATGTTTTAACTACGATATATGTTAGATTATAGAAGATCAAGCAAAATTTACTTGAGATATTGTTTCAGGATCCAATGAGGTTTTGCACAATTTGGAGTTTTGGAATGTTTGGCTTTTATGAGATTTACGAATAAATTGGTCTAATGTTGACACATACCTTAAATGCCGCTAGGGGCGAATCCAACATTTTGGTTCAGCTAGTGTGGAGACTGTTGACCGGTGACCGATGACAATCAACGATCGTAATAGTCGAAGATATAATTCACAATACCCTAATTTCACTTATCTATAATTTCCTAAAACCTTAAATTCTCAAATCATAATTCACAATTCAAAATTATAAGCATCTTCACCATTCTAAAATCCTAAATTCCCAAATCACAAATCACAATACACAATTCAATAACAAAAATACAGAATGCAGTCAATGCACCCAAATAGGAAATACAAAATGCATAAGTCACAGACTCACAACAGCACAAGCAAAGCACTAGCCACTAGCAAGTAGCAAATAAGAAATAAGAAATAGGCAAATAACAAGAGCTAATAAGTAATACCTACAGCCTACAGGCAGGCAGAAGTTAGAACGCATATCGACATACTTGAGAGGCTGAGACCGCAGACAAGACTAAACTCCAACAAACCAGCCTCAAGCTATCGATTATTGCGGGGAAATTATTGAAAATACTTCAAATTCAACCATACCCTTTCCAAAATACCCTTTTTACTATTCAACCTCATAACAACCTAAAATACCCTTAACATAAAAAGTTTCAAAACAAGTCATTTTAG